TCATTGGGCTTGTTTGGAGCTTCCGACCTTATTTTGGGATTTTTAGGGATGAGGGGGGGCTGGGGCTGAGCCTGGCCGCTTCGCTCCTGCCTCCCGCTTGTGCTGCGGAAATCCCGGGCTCCTCCGGCTCGCGGAATTCCCGGTGCCTTCCCGGCGGCCCCCGTTAACGTCCCGTTTCTTCTCTTGCAGAACATCTTCCAGATGGTCAGGTCACACCAGAGGGACGCGGCCACTTAGCCCCGGCACCGAGGACCGTAACACCCCCTCCCCCAAATTAACACTTAAAATTGTTATTGTATTAAAGCCCTTAAACTAAATATTATTAATAATAATGCCATTTGTGAACGTCATGTTTTGGGAATTAAGCAAGTAGGGAAGCGGCCAGAAAAGAAGGGAAAAGCAGGGCCCCCCCCGGGCTGTTGTGTCCCCTTTCCCCTGGAGTCCCGTGTTAAGACGGACTGTACTTATATTTTTTACAACCTGGTATGGAAGCATCATCCATTTGCACTGTTCAGACGTATGTATGTATGAAAAAAAAAGCCCCCGAGAAGCTCTATATCCCAGTACCGTGCACGCCGATACGTATATATATTTCTTTTAAAGTTTTGGAGCGGTGGCAGTAGCTTTTTTTTTTTTTTAAGCTTGCGTTTCCACACGCGTCTGTCCTTCAGCCCCAGTGTCTTTCTATCTAAAAAAACTAACTTTAGAGAAAAAAAGAGTAAAAAAAAAAAAAAAATAAGGGGGGGAAAGGGCAAAGCCCCAGTGCAGGGTGCTGCCCCTCTGGCTCCGGGACGGCTCTGTGGTTCCGAGCTCCCGGCTTCTCTTTTCCCTGGATTCCTTGGGGGTGTTGGAGGGGGTCAGGGAGGGGGTCACAGCCTCCGTGTCCGGCCGCTCCGGCGCTTGGAGCAGCGGGAAGGCCCTGCCGGCTCCCTCCGGAGCGGCCGCCCTGGCTCGTCCCTTCCCGGCGTCTCCGAGGGCTCCTGCAGCCTCCGGACAGGCGGCGGCTCCGGCGGGATCGGGGCGCATCCCGGCGGCCGGAATGGGCCAAGGAGGCGCCTCATCCCTGCAGCGAGAGCGCCCGTCCTCAGCAGGGACCCGCTCGGAGCGGGGACGCGGGTGACACCCTGCAGTGACACCCCCCCCGTGCACTTCTGTTTTTGGAGGGTTATTCCAAGCCTGGAAGCTCTCCCGCCTCCGGGCCCTGCGCATCCCTGTTAACTTATTTGCGGGAAACTTGGTGTTTTCATTGCGGTGTCTTGGTCGTTTTTTGGTTTTTTTTTTTCCATTTGCGAGTCAGAAATGTGAAGGAAAAGGGGGGAGGGAGGAAAAAAACCACCCGCAAAAGCTGCTCCCGCCCGGCCCCCCTGCCCAGCGCTGACCCCGCGGCTGTGCTGGGAGGGCCCCTTAGTGTAATTAATTGTAACATAATTCTTTTAAATAAATGGATTTATTGATGAAACTGCACTTAAATTGCGGGCTCCTTGGCCTCTGTCTGCGGGGGTTGGGCTGGGGGCCCCCGGACGCCTGGGCCCTCCCATGGGTGCTATTGTGGGGGTACCTGGGGGTCGCTCACAAACGCTTTAATGTCTCTTTTAGCCTTTTCGTTTTTTTCAACTTATTTTATTTAGACCAGAAAAAAAAATAAAGGAGGAAAAAAAAATCAAAAAAAGTTAAATTATCCAAAGTAACCGCAATAAATAGCAAATAAGTTAAGCGGCGGCGCCCGAACGGCG